ATGACTATGGGAAGCTGGTGGCCAGGCGAAGGCTGTAAGAACCGTGTTTGGGGCCTATGGCTGGGTCAAGAGGCACCCAGTGTTCTGATACCCATACCACCAAGCCCCACTGCCACACAAGAAACTGCAAGATAGCTTCTTCTTCCTGCAATGTCTGTCCAGTGTTCTTTCCTGGGTGGGAGCTTAACATTATACTCACTTTAAAGGAGATATAGGGAAGGAATTTCCTTATCACAAAGAATATACTGAAAGGTGCATGAAGAGCTGAGAGGCAATAAATTAATAACTGATAGTCAAAAGCTAAGTCAACCCTTCTCTATCCTGTGAATCCTTCTTTTTCTATTTTTCTTGCCCTCTTCATTTTTTACATTCTTTCAAAAAGCAATATTTATTGAGTATCTACTATTAATTAAGAAAAGATGAAAAAAATACAATCTGTATCCTCAAGGGACAATAGAGGATACAAAACAGGGAAACAAACATTTGAAATGTAATGTGATGAGATTGTAACAGAGGTCTGTTTGCCAAATTAAGCTCAGCCCAAGGATCTCAAGGAAGGCTTATAGCAGGCAGATTAACTGTACTACGCTGTAGCATAGCAGTATTGTGAGGCTTATAGCAAGTAATTTATTGCTAAGAATGATCAAAGTATTAAGTTTGGAATGATTTGGGGTTTTTTTAATTTCAGTGCAGTGATGTTCCCTATAATAACATCACTTTCATTTTCTTGAACAAGGATAGGCTTTCTCAAGGAGATGAAAACCTCAGAAACTGTACATAACCCAATTCTATGTGATTTATGCTGCTGTGCACAATCTTGATGTATCCATAGGAATATGTTATACTCACAAGACCATTTCCCTGACAGGCTACAGTCCATGGGGTTACAAAGAGTCAGACATGACTGAGCATCTAACACATATAACATACAAATAGTATATGAAGCTTTCAGTTGACCTCAGACTTCTATGATCCTAAAATTTATAATTCACTGCAATTAAAAAATATCAAAATATAATCTCTCCCAGTGAAAAGAGGTAGTCCTAAATTTAACAAAATCTAAAAAAGTAGTCAGTTGTCCTTCTCAGTCTGGAGTTTAGACAAGAGATATGAGTGGGAGAATATTAGTTTGAAAGGCAGTATATTGTCTTTTGTTGAAGTCACAGGATTGCTTAGAGAGGAGCTCTATGGAGAGACTAAAATGACTGTCTCAGGTTGGGTTTCCTAGGAATAGTCCAAGATAGGAATTCTTGTTCAAAGTATATACTGAAGAGTATTCTCGGGAAAGGGGGAGTAGAAGAAGCAGCCTGCGCAGGGGGAAAAGCTAAGGAGGATATAGTCTCAGATGGAGTCAAGCTTCATCTTAATCCCATAGTAAAATCTGAACCACCAAAGTATCACAGAGTTGGCCCCATTTTGAGGCAAGAGTCAGTTTTTTAGAGTCCTTCTCCCAATGGAGTTGTTAGGTACAGGCTACTCTGGGAAGGGAGCAAATCATGACTTCCAGGACAGGCAGCTCTATGCAGACAAGTCTTCAGAGAAGAGGGTCAACTGTGAGCCATTAGTAGCCAACACAAACAACAGCTGAGAAACTGGGAGACATGCTGGGTGATCCCATTAAAAGGGATCTGAATAGAGCAGCAACTGTGTCCAACATAAAGATCAAGAAATGAACCCTAAGAAATCAAACTAGAGGAAGAAGCCCTTGAGGGAAACCAAGGAGAATTCTAAGATGAAAATAATCAAAAGAGAATGGTTATGTGAACAACAAGGTCCTACTGTATAGCACAGGGAACTATATTCAATATCCTGGGTGGGGGTGGGGAGGGAGGAAACAGAACGGCGACAGTAGCAGTCACAGTAGTGGTTTGAGCATTACCACAGAAACTGCAAGACTGAAAATACAGCAGAGTGGAGCAGTTGAAAACAATTCTCCATAGTCAGCTCATTGTCAGATCCTCAGATCTATACTCTAAATAGAACACCCTTTTAAGATTACACATATTTTGGGTTGCTTTCATTCATTTTTCTAAAGTGCTTTGCATAAAATAAAGCTAAATTAAAGTCTACACCAGGAACAAGCACAACCACTACCATCTTGTTCTTGCAAGATGCCAGTCTCAGAGACTATGACTCAATAATTAAGCAATTCAACTGGAATGCAACACATCACATGGGGAAGATCTTGCAGTGACTTGGCTTCAGGGTCTACTGGCTTCCCCATTTGCTGTCACTGAAAGATTTTGGGGATTAATTAAAAAAAAAAAAAAAAGGTCTTCTTACATTTAAAAATGATATGCTAACTTACACTATAATAAAATGGAAACTTGATAATACAAAATTAAGTAAGAAAGCACTAGATTTATGATTATTCCATCTTGAAAAAATGTATACCATAGACAATTTTGTTTAGATTATGTTGCTTTGTTATATGAAGTCAATTAAAATTTGTACCAGCTGAATATTTAAAATTTTTGATTTCTAATTGTGTTAAACATTGCCTCCTTAAAACAGCTGAAGCAGTAATAATTAACTCCTGACTAATTAAGCAAGTCTTAGGAGTTATGCATATGATTTTTTACCAGGTAAGACCAAAGGAATTTAATCAGTATACAATGTCATGCTTTTGCCTCCCACCACTTTACTGTATTCATTGGGCTACTTTATTCTCTGCCCTTGGCTGAAAACAGCCAACTCAATGATTTCCCTGGCACTTGTTGACTGCAGGGTCCTGAACTGGCTTCATCCTCTCTTGATACAACAAATGTTTACATTTGACTTTCTCTAATGGAGCCAATTTGTGGATTCTTCAGAAATGTCCAGCATTAGAGTGGACACTTAGAGGTGGTTTCTAGTCCCAGGTGAATCTAACCTCTTCCAGGGTTTCTGCCCCTCTCAACCTCTACTAACTTAGCAGTCACTTCTAACTTCTCTTGACTGCCCTCTGGGCTGCCCTAGAGGTAGTATTAGGAGCACCCCATCTAGCTCCTTTTAGCTTGTGGCCCACTCCAGTCCAGAAAAACATTGCCTCAGCCTTTATATCCACAACCTCTGAACCTAACAAACCCAGTGAACCTAACGGCTTCTTTGTTTCATTTGCTGACAGATATCCAATCAAGCTTTCCTGATAATCTCCTTGAATCCCTACTCTCATAAAATAAAATAAAGAGGGGCATGCCCCATGGAAAGAGAAACATTCTGAAGGTTTGTAAACTTTCTTTTAAACTTCCTACAGTGTCCTCTGTTTTATGACTTACTTGGATATCTTGCAGATATATCTATGTCGCCATTAAAACCTCCAATTTAACATCATTTTTTACATTCAAAAGTCAGTGGGAAATAAGCCCTATGTCTTATGTAAAAGCTTCAAGTACCTGCAGTAGTGAGAACACCTCAATTCTAGTCAACAAAGCAGGGAAGAAAAATGGACAAAGTTCAGGCATAAACCCTGGCTCCTGGGAACAGTCCCATAATGGTCTTCAGGAGATCCCTGAAGTCCTGGCAGCCCCATCCCTGCAGGAGAACTTATGCCACATGAAAGAAATCTGCTTCAGAGGCTCGAGTGGGAAATTAGGGCCATAAGTAGCTGGTCTTCTAACTAGAATGTTACCTTTTCTCTAATTCTTTGTCTAGTATTCCCTGTTAAAGGCCTCACTTCTTTTTCAAAAATTGTTTATACTGAATACTGACTTTGGTTGACCATGGAGGGCTGGTGAGGAAAGAGTGGCTCAGCAGTCACTTAAACAACTTTTTAGCCTCATTAAACTGAGTATTTAAGGAGAATCACTTTTTCAGTTGAAGTATTCAGGTAATTATTTTAATTCTCTGTTTCCCTCTACCAGTATGGAACTATCCCAAACCAACTACCAAGAAAGAAATCTGTGATAGAAATACATCCAATCTTAATAAGATGTGGATAATTAGCTTACAGGATGGAGCCAACATGCTTCCCAAATTAACTAATTTTTGCATTCAGCCACAACTCATAAAGCTTCTTTATAATTAGCATTTTCTTGTTTTTAAAACACTAACAATATACTCAAAGCTGTACAGTTTATAAACCAAGAGGCTGAGCCAATGTTTTATGTTCTTTCTTTGGTAGAAAAGACTACCTTGGGGACCCCTAAGGATATGAAATCTTTCTTCCAAAGTAATAAGCTTATAATGTTACACGAGATGGGTAAAATACCACAACTATACATATCATATTTCACCAAAGTCCATGTATGCTTGAAAAGGCCTTCACTTTCATCTACTATAGTTATGAAAACCAATAGAATCACTTTGCATAAATATTCAGTCCTTAATACTTTTTCTTTAGCTAATTATCATTTTAAAAGAATCAGAGGAAAATCTAATCCTTCAATCTAATGTAAGAGAAGACTATAGGGCTTATTAAAAATGACCCTTTAATTTATTAGCAAACTGATGGAGAAATTGGTTGGCCATGCCTTCATCACATGGCCAGACCCTGCATTTGAAAATGTGATTAATCTCAGCCACTGTAAAGGTTTAGATGAAAAAACAATCTAGCTTCAGGCAGATTTAAACATTCCCTTTCCTCAAAAAGAAATAATTAATGTTCTGTTATATTCACAATTCAATAAGCAATCAAACTGCTTGGAAATCACCTTTGAAGCATTTACAGAAGGATAATTTCATTGAGGTAGCAGTAACCAATTCTAGTTTTCAAGAATACTGTCAAAAGTAAAATAAATGTGTAAAACTTTTATAAAAGATTTTTTCCCAAATAACCTTTTGCATAATCACAAAAGTAATGAAAGTAGAGCTCAAGTTTCAGGGAGAAAAATTTTGAAGGGAAAGAGGCAGAGCTTTGAAAGACATGCATGATAGGGGGAAAAAAAGACAGGAAAAAAATTATTAAATTTGTATTAACATTCTTATGAATGCTATCACTGAAAGAAGCTAAGCATTCAGCATTGTCATGATTTTTTTTTTCACAGCAGTAAGGAGAATGTAGAAAACAGTAACACATTCACCTTAACCTGTCATTTGCCTTCTGAAAGCAGCCCTCAGAATACCATCCAGCTTCATTTTTCTTGCTTCAACATTTACATCGGTATTCCAAAAAGGATGTATACCTAAAATCAGAAAAATGTATTACTTTTAAGCTTGTATTTCTTTACAGTAATGTATCTCAAGTATTAAAGTATATAAAACTCATCATGTAAACTTTTTAAAAATTATAAGATCTAGCACATAGATCATCACCACAAACATTACCAAAGATTCTTAATCAATAGGTCTACATTTTAAGAAGTATGTAATTTTTTCAAAGTTGGAAAAACACTGATCAAATAATTTGAGGTTCTCACTCACATTCTATAAGGAAAGCTGAGTGCTGAAGAATTGATGCTTTTGAACTGTGGTGTTGGAGAAGACTCTTGAGAGTCCCTTGGACTGCAAGGAGATCCAACCAGTCCANAGGAAAGCTGAGTGCTGAAGAATTGATGCTTTTGAACTGTGGTGTTGGAGAAGACTCTTGAGAGTCCCTTGGACTGCAAGGAGATCCAACCAGTCCATCCTAAAGGAACTCAGTCCTGAATATTCATTGAAAGGACTGATGCTGAAGTTGAAACTCCAATACTTTGGCCACCTGATGCAAAGAACTGACTCATTGTAAAAGACCCTGACGTTGGGAATGACTGAAGGCAGGAGGAGGAGGGGATGACAGAGGATGAGATGGTTGGATGGCATCACTGACTCTATGGACATGAGTTTGAGTAAACTCTGGGAGTGGGTGATGGACAGGGAGGCCTGGCATGCTGCAGTCCAGGGGGTCACAAAGAGTTAGACACGACTGAGTGACTGAACTGAACTGAACTGAACTGAACTCACATTCTCAAGAAGAAGCTACTGTTATGAAGAATATAATCAACTTTAACTGTGACATCTTGAAGGAATTGATATAAGAATCAAACATATAGGGAGAAGGAAATGGCAAACCACTCCAGTATTCTTGCCTGGAGAATTCCATGAACAGAGGGAACTGGCAGGCTACAGTCCATGGGGTCACAAAGAGTGAGACACAACTGAGCAAATTTCACTTTCACTTTCAAACACATAGAGTTGAAGAACAAGAAGGAGAAAGATAGATAAATACACAGACAGGTATCCAGTGGGAAGAAATGCAAAGGCAGATGGGAAATGAAAAAGGAGACTGAAAAGAAGAGAAAATGGAAAAATTTTAATATGCAAAAGTCAGACATGACTGAGCGACTGAACTGAAAGTTAAGTCTAAAAAATGGAAAACAATAATTTAATTTTCACATGAAAGTGATTGTTTAGTAACATAGAGACACTGCCTTTGGTTACTATACAACAATACATAGTCCTTTACGATCTATCTATTTTTCATTCTCTCTCTCTCTCCCATAATCAGTTCACCTGTCTTTCCTCAGCTTTCTTTTCCTTTTGGGATTTTATTCACTCTTTCCAGTCATTTTCTCCTGATCACATTATAAATTTCCTATTTTATTATATCTTGCTCCTGTGTCCACCATAAGTACAGGTAGTCATTTTATAGTGTGATTAAAAGGACTTCTGTCCATATTGGCTTCCCTTCCTCTAGCAGAAATTTTAGAGCTTCTTTCTTTTAGGTTAAGTACTGCCTTATCCCCATCAAGTTCTCTTTTAAAAATCTATATGCTTGTAGAAGGGATATAAACCACCAGATGATCAAGTCCACTATTAGCTAGAAAGCCTTTTTCCCTGACAGTCAGGAACTAGCAAGCTTGAAAGAATTTGAGCTTCCAACAGACATAAACGGAAGACATCATGGCCTAATTTAAAATTTGGAGATGTGTCACACTAGGTACAAAATACATACCGAGTAATAGATTTTCCATGTTCCATCAATTGTTTTGGACATACTTTTGATTGGCTGGAACGACAAACTTTAACATGACATTTTTCCAGATTTTTTCCCCTAGATTTGTGGGCTCAGAAAAGCTGAAGAAAGAAGTTGAGGAGAATGACAATACACGAATTAATGGAATTAAACAATGAACTGAAAAATCTCTTAGAAAATAGTTTAAACACGCGCACACACTAAGGCTAAGGGCCCTCAGAATTATATACCACTATCTCCCTTCTTTATCACTTAAAGAATGTTCCAAAACCTACCTTAATAAAAGCCCAATGCAGGGTTGTATTAGGTGATAATCATTGTTGGGAAATCTTTCCAAGTGTCAACTAAAAATTCCTCATGTTATGGCTTAATTGCTTTTCTGTTCATTTTCTGCATAGTGAAAGTGAAGAGCCAATCATTGATCCATCATTTCACACTTTTCCTTAGTCTGTACTTAGGTACAGAGTCTATCCTTGTGTTTGTTTCCTATTGAAAGGTTGTTGCTGAACTATGAAAGATGCCAGGATTATTGGCCTCCAGAGGAGAATTCAATCCAGGGCCAGAGACAAGGTTTGATCACTCAGACCTTTTGTGTAATAAAGTTTTATTAAAGTATAAAAGAGAAAGCTTCTGACATAGACACCAGAAGGGGGCAAAAAGAATACCCCTTTGCTAGTGTTAGCATTGGAGTTATATACCTTTTAATTACTTATTATAATGAATCAAAAGAATGTCTCAAGTTTGTGAAAATTTTACCAGACCCACTCCCACAATTTACATTTTAGGATAACAAGATTAGAGTTTAACAGTAGAAAGATCCTACCAGACCTACTCTCATATTATACATTCTAAGATATTAGGATTAGTCAGAAGGTTTTCAGAAAGGAGAAACTGTCCTCAAGCAGGATACATTGTTGTTGTATAATCCCTAATACAGAGTTTAAACTGAGTTGGGTAATTGACTAAGACTGAGATCAGTCCTGGGTGTTCATTGGAAGGACTGATGCTGAAGCTGAAACTCCAATACTTTGGCCACCTCATGCGAAGAGTGACTCATTGGAAAAGACCCTGATGCTGGGAGGGATTGAGGGCAGGAGAAGGGAACAACAGAGGATGAGATGGCGGGATGGCATCACCAACTCGATGGACATGAGTTTGAGTAAACTCCGGGAGTTGGTGATGGACAGGGAGGCCTGGCGTGCTGCAATTCATGGGGTCGCAAAGAGTTGGACACGACTGAGCAAGTGAACTGAACTGAACTGAAGGAATATAGACAAAAAAAGTTTGTCCTTTCCTCCTCCTTGAGAATTCCAGACCCCTATCTCCACTTTGAGAGTCCCAGACCCCTTTCTCCTCCTTGGGGATCCTGGACTTCTTTCAATCTGCCTAGGAATTGACTCTCTCACTATTTGATGGTTTATTCAATGATTCAGCAAAAGTCCTCCTAAGAATTTTTATTACTTCTCCTACCTTACAACCATTCACAACCAGAATCATTATTAAAGCTCATCTTCATATACTGCTCATATTTTCAGGGAAACTTCTTCAGCATTTAGGAAATATTTTTAATACTTGGCACTTAAGAAACAGCATTTTTCAACATAACTATAGAAACAGAAAATGATTAAAGTTTAAATTCATTAGGCATTCAATAAATGCTTATTGAATTTAGCTGAAATATCATGAATTTTTCTATTTTTAATCTTCACTATGATTTATTTTCTATTTTCACTTATTATGAGAAAATATTTCCATATTCCAATAGTTAGATGTAATTTTTTCCTCCCTTGGATAATTCTTTATTCCCTGTTATTATGTGTAATATTTCAAGCTAAAGTGTTCTTATTGCAAGTCTCTTGTCTCCGTGTATCTTTTTTCTTGCACTGAATAAACATATCAAATTTCTTCTCCTAATAGAAACTCTTACCACCTAAGTGACTTACAGGAACATTGTGAAGATTGATAAGGCCATGAATAAAACACTTGAATTTCCTTGCTTTTAGTTTTCAAAAATGACTGCATAATGAAAGTAGTGCTGCATTTGTTTTTGTCTTTTTCTAAACATCCTACAATAATCCCTTGAAGAATCATTTTCTCTCTTTTGTCCTTGTAATAAAATTAGGAGTAAGCATGAGCCTGATAGAATACAGATGCCTTTTAATAAGAGTCCATTCATTTCTATTCAGTCAGAAGATAGGTTCACCATTGTCCATTCAGATAACAACTAAATGGGGCATGACCAGACCAACTGATTTCAAATTCAGATAGACTAGTTTAATGGTATATCTCAGCAGCTGGCTTTTTCATAACTAGCCCATCAAGCAACGGAACAGAGTAAATGCTCTCTTTAAAATCAGAATTATAAAACTCTCTTCCTAGGAAATCAGAGATTTTCAGGTAAGTTGTTGTATTCTTCTCTATGTTGCCTCTCCACTTACACAATTTCCAATGGGTATTTCTCTATCATTTGCATGTGTGATATAACAAGACTAAACTTGACAACAGTAACCTGGGTCCAAATCCTTCCACACCACTTACCAACTGAGTAATCTTGAGCAAGTATTCCTAAATCTAAATTCCTTTGTATGAAGTAGATTAGGTTTTTGAGAGAATGGAATTAGAAAATGTATGTAAAGACACTGTATGCATTTTTTTGAGTTGTTCATTTTTTTTTTCATTTATTTTTATTAGTTGGAGGCTAATTACTTACAATATTGTAGTGGGTTTTGTCATACATTGACATGAATCAGCCATGGAGTTAAATGTACTCCCCATCCCGATCCCCCCTCCCACCTCCCTCTCCACCCGATTCCTCTGGGTCTTCCCAGTGCACCAGGCCCGAGCACTTGTTTCATGCATCCCACCTGGGCTGGTGATCTGTTTCACTATAGATAATATACATGCTGTTCTTTAAATTGCCTTATATGTTTAAGATATTGTGATACAAGCCTATCTAGCTTTATTTTATTTTTTTTTAAATTTTTTTTCCATTTATTTTTATTAGTTGGAGGCTAATTACTTCACAACATTGCAGTGGGTTTTGTCATATATTGACATGAATCAGCCATGGAGTTACATGTATTCCCCATCCCAATCCCCCGTCCCACCTCCCTCTCCACCCGATTCCTCTGGGTCTTCCCAGTGCACCAGGTCCGAGCACTTGTCTCATGCATTCAACCTGGGCTGGTGATCTGTTTCACTATAGATAATATACATGCTGTTCTTTCGAAACATCCCACCCTCGCCTTCTTCCACAGAGTCCAAAAGTCTGTTCTGTACATCTGTGTCTCTTTTTCTGTTTTGCATATAGGGTTATCGTTACCATCTTTCTAAATTCCATATATATGTGTTAGTATACT